TGACATGAGTACATGTTTATATGAAAAATAATATTACAGCCCATGTTATATAATATGAGAGCTCTAGGTATAGTTGGCAAGCCAAGAGTCGAGGGTTTCATAGGTCCTTCGGGACATATTCACAGGTCCTTCAGGACAAAATTTCATATGTCACTCAGTGGGACTTATACAAGCTGTGGTAACAGCAGAAGTGCTAAACCTCTATGTACTCGAATGCCTTATGTTCTCAGTATATACATGGGCCTATAAATCATATGAAAAATGTGTATTGCCTTATATATATTGAATCATAGGAAATTATATGGAATTTGTAACACCCATAACCCGTATAATTATACCTATACAGATTCTAGATGTCACCCGAATTTCTAAAACCATTTCCAATTCAAAAGTGATTTAATTTTTTTCTTAAAATGGTAAATGATATTATAAAAATATCATATCATCTGAATTATGTTTCATTATAACAAATTTAAGGAAAAAGTATTTTTTTATTTATTGAATAATAATGTGAACAATACCGTGAACAGTTAACAGTGTATCGATACACTGCTATAATACCGTGAACAGTGTGCCGATGCACAAAAATATCAAACTTAAAATGTGTATCGATGCACTGCTACAGTGTGCCGGTGCACTGCTACAATAACTGCTACAGTAATTTCAGCAAATTATATAAAATTCATAAAAATTAACCTTTCATCACTATAAAGTTACCATTTTATTTCAAATTAGTTTAACAAAATAAATTGAACATTAATAAGTACATGCCACTAACAAAGTCAACAATACATCATAGGATGTCTTACTGATATTGAAATATACTCCTCGATGCTTGATGTCGTTCTGCACTCTTTACTCTACTACTGGCTTTTTACCTACGCGTGAAAATCATCACACGCTAAGTATATACTTAGTGAGGCCATTAAAACAATAAACAGTGCAATACTATTCATGCATGAATTTCAATGTAAAAATCAAAATGACATAAAATCATATTACCAACATATCCAATATTTTACCTCAATATAATATAACTGAATATAACATTTCTTACGAATATACTAACCATTTAATCACATAAGCTCGTAAGCTTATTTTACCAATATACTTACCATTTATTCATAAGCTCGTAAGCTTATTTTACCAATACACTTACCATTTATTCCATAAGATCGTAAGCTTATTTTACCAATATACTTACCATTATTCCATAAGCTCGTAAGCTTATTTGCATGGTTACTATTTATTAACCAATAAACCATAAACCATATACAATAGCCAGTATAAAACCCTGAGGACTCTGGGTATTCGAGTAATATTTGCACCGTAGTGCTACACATAAGGTCGTGCCCACCATATACACCGAAGTGTATTACACATAAGGTCGTGCCCACCATATACACTGAAGTGTATTATAAACCTGCAGCTGCTATATTTTATGGCATGCCAACTATACCCTGTCCCTCAACGACTTACTTGGGCATATAGTCTATTTTATTTAATCCATCCATGGCAAAGTATATTATCATAATTTAACATTGGGCAGTTCAAACCAGAAAACATTCATAGTAAAATATCACATTTTTTATAATCAATGCATTATAATTTCATACTGCGACATATCAATGTCATGTAAATTTATAAAAATATGACATAATATTATGCTGATATAAACAAGGTCGACTTATTACAAGTCTTCCTGATGATGTATAAAACATCCATGTATAATTTCATGCATGTATTGCACTCACCTTGACACTTTATATATCCAATATATGTGCCTCACTATGTTCCACAATAAACCCTTTTTATATTTGACTTGCTTCAATTGCAAATCAATCACAATCTGTATAAATCACAAATTCATAATGATACATAAGTTAGTATTTTACTAACATAAACATATCCCAAAATAACTCCATAATATAATTGAAACTCATTTTCTATCAAAATACTTAACATTTAATAATTCTTTTTAACATTGGAACCAATTTTTCCAATTTACTCAAAATGGTCCTTCACCATTTTATCACTTAGATTCTTAATACCAAAAATTCCAGCATTGAAATTATTACCATTCAAATGTTTTTACAAAGGCATAATTACATTTAAGTACCCCAACTATACGAATGTTGTACTTAAATCACCAATCTTTTCAAACTTCCAAAACAGTCATATTTCACATCTAAACACTCATTTCAATTCCAAAATAGCATTTTCCAGTGTAGTACATCAACTATTAAACAATTATACAACCATTTACAACTTTTCCAAAATTGATGAATTGGTCCTCTAACTTTTCAAAAATTACAAAATGGTCTCTCAATTTTTATAAGGCCTGTAGAATACTTTCTATATCATTTTCAAACCTTATATAATTTTTCCATAATTTTTCTGATCCTTTAAGACCAAGTCCTAATGTTTTAAAGTTCCAAAACTAGGTTTTTCATGATTTTATTCGATTTTGATTCGATTCAAGCATGAAATCAACCTTATAACATCTTTAAAATCAAATCCCAAATCAACTCTCATCAGAACACAAAGTTCTACAATTTCCTCTTTTGACCGAATTTTAAAGAATTATTTCTATGAAGATTGAACATATTTTAACTATCAATCAAGCTTGAAAATAAATCTACAATCTCTAAATCATCAAGATTTATCATCAATTTTATGAACCCTATCATGAACATAAACCCTTAGATTTGGGATCTTTGAAATCCAACAAGATTAGAAAGAAATATTGGTACCAAATGATAGTGTTTTTCGCGTAGATCACTTTCCTATTTCACGCCATAACCTGAATTCCAAAGGAATTGGCTCAAAAATTGAAAAAAAAAATATTTTCTTACCTTGGAAGCTATCTCATGTCCTTTGCTGGAGAAGATTAACATCTTGGCATGATATTTTAGATTGATATCATGCTTATCATCCTTTAAATTAATCTTTAATTCATTAACTTGGGAAAATACCAATATACTCTTAATGAAACTTCATAATTACCATAAAACCTAGATACTTATCCTTATCATCTTCCAAATCATAAAAATATCAGCCTTATCATCTTTCAATAGTCAAAGATGAACAAAATAGTTTTCCACTTTATCGTTTTGCCCATGCAAATTCCAAAAATTACAAATCAATCACTTTAATCAAACGGTCCAAATTAAACATAAAATTAAACCCTTAAATATTATTTTTCAACATTTAAAAATGTGAAAATAATATATTTATTTCCTTAGTTTCGTGACCCATTTGTAACTTTTTAAAATTACATTTTGATCTCTAAACTTTTCAAAATTTATATTTTGGTCACCAAACTTTACCAAATTTATAATTTGGTCACTAAATAAATCCATTTATGAAATAAAATTCTTTTTGGAAAAATCACCACTTAATTCCTTGAACTTTTCCCACTTTTCTACTTTGACCATCAAACTTTCAAAATTTTCATTTTAGTCATTATCTAAATTTTAGGGTATTACATAATTCTGATTACGATGTTGCATGTTCATATTCATAAGAAATGCATTATCATTATAAGTTTATGCCTCACTAAGTCTATGACTTAGCGTGTAAGTGATTTATGCGTAGGTACAGAAAAGCAAGAAGATCGATCTTAAGAGCAGCAAATAAGCATATCATCATTTGAAGATCAGATTAGAAGAACCTTACACAGTATGTCTGTTTATGTAATATATGTGTTGGCATGTAAATAGAGTCGTTTAGTATGTATGCTCTGATCGACTTTTGTAATGTTTTAAACTTATATATATGTAAATGGTAACTTTATGGTGATGAAAGTTTTAAATTTTACGAGTTTTTATAAGTGGACAAAATTATTGTAGGAAGGGTATCAATACACTGTAGCAGGGTATCAATACCCCTGTAGCATTCTGGAAAATTGTAGCATTCGGTACTGTTCATTACTGTTCATAGTATTGTTCATTACTGTTCACAGTACTGTTCATACCGTATAATACTATTCATAAAAACATTTCTTTTCTTAAAATTGTTATAACGAACATAATTTAACGATATATTATCGTATTTTCTTAATATAAGTTCAAACGTTTTGTATTTTGTAAGAATATTATTTTAAAAAGTCAATGTGACATCTCAGACTCGTATCCGGGTCGGGTACGGGTCGAGGGTGTTACAAACGTGGTAGAATAACGAAAAAAATTGAAGAAATGATTTTTGGGATTATTTAAAATGAAAGTGCTTATGGCTATTTATAGTTGATTTCTAAGGACCAACTTACAAATAACCTAATAGTTTAGGACGAAAATAAAATTTTTCTCACGTACACAAGTTAGCTACTTGCCAACTTGAACTTTTGATGCATTTTTGTATCATTCTTTGACCAAAATAGTTGTCATCTTTTAATCTTTGATGACAGCAAGTTTGAACTTGAATTCTTGTCTGTCTTAACCAACACTTTAACTTTTTAATTTATAGGCTTGTTACAATTCTCACACATAACAGTCGATCCAATATCTCATTCGAAGATCCGAATGTGTTCACTATCACTGCAGCTTGCATTGCGAGTGTCATACATGAGAACCCAAATAGCAGTAATAGCATGAACAATAATTATATTTTCTTTTTTATTCTCTCGTTTTACCTATGTTCTTTTTTTAATATCTGTTTATGTAGTTACATATTTAGATGTTAGATGTTTGCAGATTATATATATATATATATATATATATATATATATATATATATATATATTAACTTTACGATTTTTCTTTTCTTTTAATATTTTAATTAGTTTTTCCTTTAAAACATTAATTAAAATATAATTTATTCTCAAACAAATTATTAGACTGACATAAGGATGTGACTAAAACGAATATTTAGAGTTTGAGGACTTAATTAAAGTATTTTGAAGTTTAGTGACTGATTTAAAATCTTGGTACAATCTGGGAACGTCCAATACAGATAACCCTAATTTGTGAAATTTATAAGGGGACGCATTCCCCCATAAACCCTGTGTTAGGGTTTCCAGAATTCCCCAATTTAGGAATGAATCGTTTGTACAATTGAAGACGGTGGCCAGTTTTCTACTTCCCAGAGTCTTCAACTTCAAACCCATTTCCAGTTTCAAGCTAAAGACGAGAAAAGGGTTCTTCTTCAACAGTGTGAAGAAAATGAATGGCAGAAAAAGAGCAGCGGTTAAAGCTTCGAGCAGCAGCATCCCATGCGTAAATCAAGAATCACCCATTCTTCCTTTCAGGATTCTTCAACTCCCGCGCCGTACAATCTACGAAATCCTCGCGAGGCTCCCAATCAAAACCCTCTTCCAATGCAGGTCCGTTTGCAAGAGGTTCCTTCGTTTCATCTCAGATCCTGAATTCGCAAAGCTTCAACTTTCGAAATCTCAAGTTTGCATCTTAATCAAGACTCTGCCGCTCCAGAATGCTTCCAAAAGGCTCCAGATAGCTCACGTTGAGTCCAGTGGTTCAAATTTCCAGGTCTCGAAACTCAACTTTACCCCCAAATCGAATCTCCCCACTATCGAAATCTCTCATATGAATGCTTGCAATGGTTTACTTTGTTTAGTTGGATCTGAGAAAGATTATAACTTCTATGTTTGTAACCCGATTTTGGGCGAATTCATCACAATTCAACCACCTTATAAGGATAGACAACGAGGTAGCTTTTGGGGGCTTGGTTTTTCAACTATGATGGATCAATACAAAGTTTTGCAAAGCTATTATCCTGTAGTTGAATCGAATAATCGATATGTAACCGCTGAGATTTACACCATTGGAACTGGTTCATGGAGGAGCATTGGAAATGCACCAATTGATACTGTTGCTTTGCCATTCAATGCTTTCTTGAATGATACTCTTCACTGGTTTCCTTGTACTCCTAATGGTAGTGAATTCATTCATACTTTTGACTTCAATTCTGAGAGGTTTGGGACACTACCGCCACCCAATCATTTCCGTGAAGATGATAAGAAATTCACAAATCATTCAAGGATTGGCGTTCTAGAAGGGTGCCTGTTTATGATTTACTTCACGAATTCGAATCGGTTCGATATTTGGGTTATGAAGGAATATGGTGTGAAGGAGACATGGACCAAACAATTTGTTGTTGAGAATTTGTATCCAAAACAAGGCAGCTGGGATTTCTATGAACCAATGGTTGTTTTGAACAATGGAGAGATTTTGATGTTGTACAATAATGATGCAGTGGTTTGTTACAATCAGAAGCGGAAAAATTTTCGCGGAACTAAGTTTTTCCGGACTCGTTCACAGTTTGATGCGACTGCTTACACCCCTTCATTGGTTTCTCTTAACAATGTTACGAAAGGAGAGCAAATTTCTAGGTACTATATTATATGCACATATGTATATGTATATGTGTTTATATATATAATATATGTATTTGCATTCATGTATATATGTATTAAATACTTATGCATTTTCTTTGGTTCAAATGAGTGTAAATTGACAATATAGACACACACACAATGTGTGTGTGTGTGTATATATATATATATATATATGTTTTTCGATAAAAAAATATAAATTGTGTGTGTGTATCTATATTAAACATTCATGCATTTGATTTGTTTAAAACGAGTGCAAATTGACAATAAATATTGTATGTATGTCAGTGTGTGTGTGTATATATATATATATATATATATATATATATATATATATATATATACATTATAAGTACTTGTGCGTTTGCTTTGTTTGAAATGAGTGCAAATTGACATTATATATATATATATATATATATTTTTTTTTTTATGTCTGTCTACTTTCTTTCTCTGAGGTTTCAGTTATTTTGTAGGTTTTATAGTATATTTCATCATACTATGTTTTGTTGATTGAATAACATAAGTTTGTAGGAATCCTGATGTAGGTAAGGCTTGAAGTTTGCACCATATAGCATATACTGAGATATGTTACTTGGACTCGAGTGTGTCAGATGTGGGTACACGCCCGACACATGCATATTCATTTTTTCCCCAAGTTTTGCCATTTTTTAGAGGGTCTTTGGAGGATCATATTCTACCTATATCTGAAAATTTATCCAACAGGTGCTGGACACCCATGTCCAACATGTGTATGTGGATATATTTTTTCAATGGCCTTGTAAATACATGAAAAAACTTTGAAAATATTATACATACTCGTGTCTGAAACATAATAGTATCATTGCCTATCATAAATTTTTGATGATAAGATTTAATTTAGCTATTTAAAGTATAAATTGCAGCTTTTGGATCATTTCAGACACGTTTACTCGATGCTTGAGTTGTTAGATTGATCCCATTGCTTTGGCTTTTCATTTTTCTTGAATTGCTCATAGTCGTATCCAATACCCAGTGTCTGATACATATGTAGTCATGGGTATAGGGATATGACCCCTAAATACCCTCCAAATGCGTAGCAAAACTCAGAAGAAATAGACTCTCATGTTGAACATATACTTGTATCTGACGCTAAAAATGAATCTGAGCAACATAGGTTTTTTTATGACGTTAGCCCCATGTGGTTTCTAAGATGAGAAGTTATTAATATACAGGATGCAAGGCACCAAAGACTATGACAAGCCCACCGATTTCCAAGATTGTGTTGATTGTGGAGTGCAACTAGATAACCCTATCTGTAATTTTCCGACTTTTGGGGTTGCCTATGGTGATGTAAATTACCATGTGAGTTTCATTGTTTCCTTGAATTTGTATACGAGTCTCTGATTGAATATTCATTGCCATCGGTTGTGATTTAATCATTCATAAAAAAAAAATTCAGGCAGATTTGTATGGGAGAAACACCGAGAACAGATGTGCAGCTTGTGCGGATCGCCTAGTTACTTCGATGAAATCGTTTCTTACCTTGTGGAATATGTGAAGAAATCAGTGATCAATGGATGAGGATCTGTTTCGACTTGTGGTGCCAACTTAATCCTTGGATGTTTCATTATCCAATTCTGCTACTGAACTTTTAAGCATTATTTTCAGTTGTTTGCTCTGTTTTGCTTGTAAATATTTGAAACATCTTCCTGTTTAACTAGGGAAAATTAGTTTGCTAATTAGTAGAGTAAAGCTTGAACCGCCATTGGCGGATCTGGACCTTTTGAGCTACAAAATATAAGGATATGATATTCGAAAAATTAAAAGAAAGAATATCAATGCTGCTGTCGGACACATCGGTATTGAAATAACAAAAATTAACATTGTATTCATATCCATAAATGGCGTCTGAAACATTTGGAAGATATCCCAAATACAAGATGTGACATTAGAATCAAACTCTAATGGTGAAGATGTTGTCGGAGCATAGCGATTGCTGCACCATTTGCAGATCACTAATATGTTGGACCAGGAAGTTGGCATGCATGTCCAGTATTGCCCGAGCGTCGGCGAGGATAAAACTCATCACAGATAAATCATGGCCATGATCCCTGAGTTGGCGAATGACATTCATTGAGTCATTCTCGATAGCAACAGGAGAAGCAGCAAAATTAAGAGCCAACCCAGCACGGATAAATCATGGCCATGATCCTCGAGTTGGCAAATGGCATTCATCGAGACATTCTCGATAGCAACAGGAGAAGCAGCAAAATTAAGATCCAAATGAACACCAGCGCAAATCGCTTGTGATACACGAGAAGCATTCACTGGATATGCCAGTCCGGCGAGAACCAGGCCCTGATCATATCTCGCAACAACACCAATGGCTGGGGTAGTAGAAGAAGAGACGCATATACCATCCACATTGATTTTAATGGTCCCCTGTACTGGTTTACTCCATCGAACCAGAAGAGAATCAGTAGGAGAAATAACGCCACGGCCAGATAAGGCTGCAAGAAACGTTGATTTTTCACATTCCATTGATTCTACGCAAAAGAAAATTATAATTTTTTTTTGGTAAACAACATGGCCCCTTATGTTTTCGGTCTTTTCAATTTTGATCACCATTTTTATGACATCGTTAAGCTTGCTGACGGCTGAACCCACACTCGTACCGGTTGCCATTCGAGCACTAAGTCCAGATGCACACATTACTGGAACATTGACTGCCTTTGAATTTAAGAATGCTGCTGTTAATGTTTTCCGACAATTGGTCCTCCAATTTTAGGGTGTTCCTTTATTGAGTTTTCCGACAATTAAAAGTTACAAAATGATCGACAATAGGAAGTTGCTTTGTTGAGTTCCCAACTATTAAAAGTTACAAAATGATCACCCTGTAACATCCTAAACCCGATTGAGACTAAAGTACCACATTGGGTTACCGAGACAACCACTACATTTAAAAACATTCATTTAAAACATGATAATTTTCCAAATAGACATCCATAACTGTTATAAACTACTTTTACAAACTAGAGCTCTATGACACATAGCTCAAATCAATAATAACTCAAAGTTTGCAAATCCCAAATACATAAGTAAGTGTTCTATGAATACACATGCCCACTAAACGTAGCAGTACAATACTATGGAAGAGATGTTGGAAACCCTGCTGCGACAGTGCTCCTCGAATGGCTCAAACTACTAACCTATGAACGAAAAATCTGAGCCTTGTGCTTACAAAGCCCAACAGTAGAATCGTTAATCTAGAGCAACATTATGAGTCTTATAAACATAAACATGCTAGAAGACATGGTGATAAGTAGTAGGTACATGCATGATTATAGGAAGATGCTATCTACTTAAGGTTCAACTATTCTACCACTATAATGAGAGTCTCATGCTTCCCCAAGTCCTCTGCGAAGGGCCTCGCTAGTAGTATATGTATATTGAGTCTCTAACCAAAATATCGAACTACTATGCATTCTATAATGCAACACACAAACACACTTCTAGTACTTGGTCTCACACTGTCATCAGATACTAGTTAAAACTAGGGGAACTCGATAATCACACAACCTGTTGAAAACATTTTGATGTTTCGATATAACAAATAAAGTGTTATTGAATTTTAAGATTTTAATTCATTTTTAAAGTATATTTGATTAAATTATTCGAATATCAAAAATATTACTCCAAGTTTTTTCAAAGGTCAATTTCAATCCTTACTAAAGTGTAAAATTGTGTTTTAATCTTAAAATATTTTTTAAACAATTTTGACAAAGTATTTCGAACCTTAATCGGACCAAAAATAATTTTTACAAAGGGATGTACCGATACACTCATTGATGTACCGATACACCCCCTACTTCGAGTGTAATTTGGGAACTGATACACTCTTGATGTACCGATACACTCCTGGCTCAGAAAAACTTCGAATGTAATTAGTGTACCGGTACACCTGATGTGTACCGATACACTAGGTCAAATAACGGTCGAAATATTTGAATTTTACACAGAGTGTACCGATACACCTTGATAGTGTACTGATACACCTACGTTCCCATCAGATTGATTAAATGATAATTACACCATAACGGCTCTATTGACTTCACCAATGATCTCCAACGTTCCTAATCAATCCAAGGTGTATTTAAACAAGCTAAGGAGCCATTGAACAACAACAATTAAGAAGAGAAGCTAGAGAATCAAATAGAAAGCCTTAAACTTATTGTTTGAGCATTTTCAAGCCAATTTCCTTTCAATATTCATTTTGCTTTCAAGAACACATTTTGTGCTCAATTGTATTCATTCTTGAGTGTTCTTTCTTTGTTCTAGAATTGTGAAAATATCTTTCCTTGTGAGGTTTTTCTATAAGTTTGCAAAATTTGTGTATTTCTCTTTGGGAGAAAGTGTTCTCAAGAATTTGGGGTATAATTCTTGAGGGAGTTGTAAGGTTACTCTTTTTCCTCAAAAGAAAGACAAATTAGTGAATTTGTGGAAAATCCTTAGTGTGGATAGCTAAGGTAGTGGACGTAGACTTTGGTTGAGAAAGTCGAACCACTCTAAATCGTTGTGCAAATATTTTCTATTTTCTGCAAAAGCTTCCACCAAAATTTTTATTGCCAATTCACCCCCTCTTGGATATTTCGTCGATCGATTAACTCAACAATTGGTATCAGAGCCACACTCATTTGAAGGTTTAACCACCTCTTGAGTTAATTCAGGAAGAGTTATATCGATAATCAAGTCATCAATGACCTCCACTTCAAACTTCGACTTCGTTCTCGATTCTCAGCTTGTCAACAAGCATCATTTCTTCAATGGAGCTAATTATGCCTATTGGAAGAATAGGATGAGGTACTTCATTCAACCAAGTGACATGAGAGCATGGAAAATCGTGGTGAACAAATACTCCGAACCTTCCATAGATCCAAATTTGTGGAGTGAAGAAGAGACGAGAATGTTCCAACTCAACTTTAAAGCTATCCATATTCTATTTTGTGCTCTTAGACCGGATGAATACGAGAGAGTTTCATCTTGTACAACCTCCAAGGAGATATGGGATAAATTACAAGTCACTCATGAAGGCACCAACGAGGTAAAAGAATAAAAAATAAGTCTTCTAACTCATAACTATGAAATTTTCAGGATGAAACTGGATGAAGATATCAAAGCTATGACTGATAGATTTTCAACGATTGTCAATGGTCTCAAGTCATATGGAAAGATCATTTTAAACGAGAAGCTTGTGAGGAAGATATTTTATTCTCTCCCAAAAGCTTGGCAATCAAAGAAGACGACGATCATCGAGGCTAAAAACTTAAAGCCTTTAACCCTCGATGAGTTAATTGGTTCTCTCCTCACGCATGAAATGATGATTCAAGATGAGGAAGACCTTGAAAAGAAGGACGAGACAAAGAAGGAGATGGAGAAAAAGAAGAACGTTGAAGTTGCTCTCAAATCCACTAAAGTTGAGAGTGATTTTGATTAAGATGACGATGAAGAAGAAATGAAATTATTTGCCAAAAGATTCAGAAAATTAATGAAGCCCAACAGAGGAAGAAAATTCAAAAGAAATGAAGGCTTTAAAACTGAATCGAAGGAGAAGGACCCTATCATTTGCTACGAATGCAAAAATCCGGGGCATGTCAAATACAAGTGCCCGCAATTAAAGAAGAATGGTCAATCAAAGAAAAAACACAAGGCACACGTGGCTACATGGAATAATGATGAACAATCCGATGAAGAGGAACAAGAAGTAGCAAACTTATGCTTGATGGCCATCGGAGAGAATTCTCAGGTAACCTCTAACTCATCCGATTTTCAAGATTATTCTTTTGATGAGTTAATAAAGGAATATACTGGGTTGGCTTCCAATTATGATAAATTATTTTCAAAAATATATGAAAGATATTTCAAAATTGAAAAACGAAAATAATCTCATATCCAAGACCAACAATGATCTTGAAAGTAAAATTAATGATTTGCAAATCAAACTAGATGAGTTTGAAAAGAAAATTCTGATTTGCATAATTTACTTTCAAGAGTCAACAATGATCATCAAAAAGAAATTGATGATCTTAAAGCTTCTTTCGATAAAGTTGGATCAAAACGTTTTGAAAAAGGAGAAAATTCAAAATCCAACTATATTAGAAAGAACTTTAAAAACTACAATCATAGAGGACCCCAAAGAACCTCTAATGAAAAAAATCATTAGAAGTATATGGGTTCCTAAATAACTCATTACTACTAAAGATAAGGATATCCTACACAAATGGATACCCAATGAGACTAGGATTTTAGAGACTAATGAATATGAACCTAAAAGAATTTGGGTACCAAAAATAAAAAATTAATCTATGTTTGTAGGAGAAGGAACATTGATACAAGGCACAAAATACAAGTTCAAATTCGTGGTTCCTTGATAGTGGATGCTCAAGACACATGACTAGAGACAATAGCCGGTTTATAGAGCTTAACGACAAAAATAGTGGAGTGGTAACCTTTGGTGACAACTCAAAAGGTTACATTGAAGGTATAGGTATTGTATGTAATACCTCTTCCATACAAATAGAAAAAGTTTTATATGTGAATGGGTTAAAGCATAATCTATTGAGTATTAGTCAATTATGCGATAAAGAATACAATGTCTTGTTTGAAACTAATGGTTGTAAAGTTATTGACATTGCATCTAATTGGATTATGCTTGTTGGTTATAGAATAGGAAACATTTA